TTTCAGGACTCACTGCGTTCGCACATCATTAGAATACAATTAAAGTTCTGTTAATGAACCACAATTTTATAATTTCAGTTCAGTTGACTAAGTTGGCATAAGTACAAAGTTATTAATGTTAGAAAAGTAAGCGTGAAAATGTTAAAATACTTCAACTGCTTTCAGGACTCACTGCGTTCGCACATCATTTGAATACAATTAAAGTTCTGTTAATGAAACACAATTTTATAATTTCAGTTCAGTTGACTAAGTTGGCATAAGTACAAAGTTATTAATGTTAGAAAAGTAAGCGTGAAAATGTTAAAATACTTCAACTGTTTTCAGGACTCACTGCGTTCGCACATCATTTGAATACAATTAAAGTTCTGTTAATGAAACACAATTTTATAATTTCAGTTCAGTTGACTAAGTTGGCATAAGTACAAAGTTATTAATGTTAGAAAAGTAAGCGTGAAAATGTTAAAATACTTCAACTGTTTCAGGACTCACTGCGTTTGCACATCATTTGAATACAATTAAAGTTCTGTTAATGAACACAATTTTATAATTTCAGTTCAGTTGACTAAGTTGGCATAAGTACAAAGTTATTAATGTTAGAAAAGTAAGCGTGAAAATGTTAAAATACTTCAACTGCAGTTGACTAAGTTGGCATAAGTTCAAAGTTATTAATGTTAGAAAAGTAAGCGTGAAAATGTTAAAATACTTCAACTGCTTTCAGGACTGACTGCGTTCTCACATCATTTGAATACAATTAAAGTTCTGTTAATGAAACACAATTTTATAATTTCAGTTCAGTTGACTAAGTTGGCATAAGTACAAAGTTATTGATGTTAGAAAATTAAGCGTGAAAATGTTAAAATACTTCATCTGCTTTCAGGACTCGCTGCGTTCGCACATCATTTGAATACAATTAAAGTTCTGTTAATGAAACACAATTTTATAATTTCAGTTCAGTTGACTAAGTTGGCATAAGTACAAAGTTATTAATGTTAGAAAAGTAAGCGTGAAAATGTTAAAATACTTCAACTGTTTTCAGGACTCACTGCGTTCGTCCATCATTTCAACATAGGTATACTATTTTTTTACTAATTCAAATTTTTCTCGATGGGCGAGCGTAGCGACTCCTGAGAACAATAAGCTTGAAACTCATGACTTTTTCAGTTTTCATCAATTTAATTCGATTAAAATTTTGCTTCTAATCTCGGAAGACTGTTAATGTTGCATTTTCAGGAAAATTAGTTTCTTCCATTGCTTGAACAACAGTTTGTCATAGAAACTTTTGTCATAGTAACAATGGACAAGGTCTTGAGACCACCCGCAACCGTCGTCAAGGTATTTCACATTTGTTTAGTTATAATCGAGCAATTACCAAATGCAAATCATTATTCTCCGCGCGTTTCGGGTCTAACGATTCGAACGCAATTGGATACGAATATCATACATCGTTGCGTTCTCCTAATTTATGCGAAACAATTTAATTTCTTTGTACACAAATGGTAATAATATACACATTTAGATGTACATTGTTTTTCATTGCGTACACGAAGTGAATATTCATAGCTGTTTTAAATAACTGATCGGAACTTATTTTCTGTAGTAGTTACTGATAAATTTTAGTGTTTTTTTAATTAATTACCAATTGAAATATGATAAATACGCTTTGTTATAGTTTGGAATGTACTAAATGTATAAGATTATATACAATGAACTAAGAAGCGCTATTCTTCCGATGGAAATTTAGTGAAATTATATACAA